ACTAGAGCACAATGCAATCTCTCCACTCCCATGACAGTTTCATCAAAACTACATCAACTTGCTCCTCCTCGTCCTCCTCCTCTTCCTTCCTCTCCCCCCCATTCCCTTCCATCGCCCTTTCCATCTCTTCTACCCTCTCCTCCCTCGCTCTCTTCTCTACCTCTCCTTTTTCCTCTACCCCCCTCTCTCTCCCTTTTCTTATCCCCCTCCTTCTCTCTTCTCTCTCACCCCCCCCCCATTCTTCCCTCTGTTTACATCACAGCAGATTTAATAACTTGTTTCTCTTCTCTGGTATATACTTACTTAAGTGATAGTGTAAGTTTATTTTAGTTTTGAAAAATGTTTCCTTCATTGCTTCTCTGTCTCTCTTAAGGCCTACAGCGAGTGTCTGCCAGTGCAGGCTAGTGATCACATGGTCCTGTGTGACTAACCTTCCTGTGTGATGGGGAGTTTTAGCATCACATAGCTAGTTCTTGACACATTCAGTACTTCCCTTCATATAGTCTAGGGTAACTAGTTCTTGACACAAGCTGTTCTCGCCTTCATATAGTCTAGGGTAGCTAGTTCTTGACACACACTGTACTTCCCTTCATATAGTCTAGGGTAGCTAGTTCTTGACACACACTGTACTTCCCTTCATATAGTCTAGGGTAACTAGTTCTTGACACACACTGTACTCCCCTTCATATAGTCTAGGGCAGCTAGTTCTTGACACACACTGTACTCCCCTTCATATAGTCTAGGGTTGCTAGTTCTTGACACACACTGTACTTTCCTTCATATAGTCTAGGGTTGTTAGTTCTTGACACACACTGTACTCCCCTTCATATAGTCTAGGGCAGGTAGTTCTTGACACACACTGTACTCCCCTTCATATAGTCTAGGGCAGCTAGTTCTTGACACACACTGTACTCCCCTTCATATAGTCTAGGGCAGCTAGTTCTTTACACACACTGTACTCCCCTTCATATAGTCAAGGGTTGCTAGTTCTTGACACACACTGTACTTCCCTTCATATACTCTACGGCAGCTGCATTAATGCAGATGTACTTAAATGTGTTAATAAAAAAAAAATATCTCAAGGCTAATCTGTATGTAGGTTAATTAAACTTGTCTAGAACATCATTGATGATCCTAAATTAATACCAAGAAGCCTGCAGCTGCTAGCCAATACCAGCTAATTCGGAAACCTGTCCGTAAAAATGATTAGTCTTTATTAACTAAGTTTATTATAATAATTTCTGATTAGGTATGCCTTAGGGTCGCTCTCCTTGACTGTTCTCAATAATGAACACCGAGTAACTCTTGCATCTTATATGACTTGGACGAAGGAGAGAACTACCGCCAGATATCTTAGTGGGGGTCCACGGAAGGTTGCTGTTAGGTGCTGGACTGCCTTGTTGTGGAGGGTTGACGCGGGAGTCTCTCCCCAGGCGGCGCGTCTCATGTATACTGAACCTTGTTGTGAGGTGTGAGGCCACTGTCGTCCCACGGTGAGGTCTGAGCTGTGTCTTCTTGTGAGACGAGGTGCACTCACACATACACACACACACACACACACACACACACACACACACACACACACACACACACACACACACACACACACACACACACACACACACACTTGGGGGTTGATATCACGCCAGACCTGTCTCCTGCAGCACATATCAAGAGGATAACATCAGCGGCATATGCCAGGCTGGCCAACATACGAACGGCATTCAGAAACTTGTGTAAAGAATCATTCAGAACTTTGTATACCACATATGCCAGACCAATCCTGGAGTATGCAGCCCCAGCATGGAGTCCATATCTAGTCAAGGATAAGACTAAACTGGAAAAGGTTCAAAGGATTGCCACCAGACTAGTACCCGAGCTGAGAGGTATGAGCTACGAGGAGAGACTACGGGAATTAAACCTCACGTCACTGGGAGACAAGCGTTAGAGGGGACATGATCACCACATACAAGATTCTCTGAGGAATTGATAAAGTAGATATAGACAGGCTATTTAACACAAGGGGCACACGCACTAGGGGACACAGGTGGAAACTGAGTGCCCAAATGAGCCATAGAGACGTTAGAAAGATTTTTTTCAGTGTCAGAGTAGTAGACAAATGGAATGCATTAGGCAGTGATGTGGTGGAGGCTGACTCCATACACAGCTTTAAGTGTAGATATGATAGAGTCCAGTAGGCTCAGGAACCTGTACACCTGTTGATTGACAGTTGAGAGGCGGGACCAAAGAGCCAGAGCTCAACCCCCCCAAGCACAACTAGGTGAGTACAACTAGGACTAGGTAAGTACACACACACATTCAGGCATAACGCTGTCCACTCTGCTTGATTTTATTGCCCGAATTAATCATCCATTTTAATTTATGGACGGACATTCAGTTCATGTGAGGGAATTTCCCCACACAGCTGTTGTGTACACACACCACACACACACACACACACACACACACACACACACACACACACACACACACACACACACACACACACACACACACACACACACACACACACACACACACACACACACACACACACACACACACACACTGCTGCTAACATTAACTAGACCTATTGTCGTTACTATTACTACCGCTGTAGATCTTGTCCGGACAGATGTGGACAGAAGACTGACAGACACACCGCCTGGCCAATACTGAGAAACGGCCATTGTAATTGAGCAGAGAAAGATGGTTAATTGAATATGATATTACTGCTACTATTACAAGTACACTCCCCCCCCCCCCCCACCCCCTAGTATTACTGTCCAGTGTATTACGACCTCACAAGCCAGTCTCCGCTGATCTTCCCCTTATATTATAACCTTCCACAGTCACAACACGCACGGAGCTAATAACACATTCACTCCTAGCTTAATCTCTCAGCCAATCAGGAACGAGGATTAAGTACTCTTTAGACACCCAATTAATTGGTCAGCCAATTAGGTTTCATAACGAATGTCTCCGGATGTACGTTTATTATGTTAAGGAAGACGCTCATAACAAATAACTTTACAGCAAATTAGATTTAACTTCTCTGAATCCTCTTAGCCAATTCCAAACGTGGATCTTATCTGGAGTGGGTTCTGGGAGTCCTTCTACTTCCCAGGCCCAGCCTGCGAGCGCTCGGTTCAACAGATATAAAAGCATTTAGACGTAATTAATCAGCCACTTTTGGTAAGTGCTTACTTTATGCTTGGAGAATGCTTCAATCAAAAACACCTAGAGACAGCCTGATCATCCGTTATCCAAAGAAAAATAATATAAATATATCATACTATTTGCCTTCGTAATTCCTCCGGTGATCAAGAGCTTGAAAACATCCCTTATGGCTTTCACTGTGGCGAAGCTCAATTAAAACACGTGTTGTTGATCATGAGTTATTACAAGTCACCCAAGTTGTTACATCAGTTACAGCAACTTCAACAGTGTGAACACAAAAGTACAGTGACAATACAGCAACACCAACGACTGCATTAGTCTGGGGACCCAAATATTCTGTCACAGCAACAGCTCCAGTATCATGTAAGTGAAAAGCAAATACCACACAATTGTAATCGATAAAAGTATAGAGTCCTCACTTAAAAGTGATATCTGTAGTGAAAAAGTGCAAATCTTGCTTTGAAGTAGCAATATGTGGGTGAGGACCTCACTGGGAAAACTAAAGACTCAAGAGCGGCCAAGTTTCTGTTCCAGCGCCTCAGTGTGGCAGTTCTGAGGGGAAATGTGTGCTGTATCTTAGGTACGCACCCGACCTCCGAAGAGCTGGACGAGGTCTTTGAACGCTGATTGTAATATTGTTATATATGTGTGTGTGTTCTCTGTAAACTGTAGCAAAGCACTAAAATAAAATAAAATAAAATAAAACAAAATTAATAAAAAAAGATTAGGGGTGGTAGGAGAAGAAAATATTAGTATTCAGTGAGAAGCCACAAGGTCTTCTTTGAATACTCTTTACTTTCTTCTTCGAGGCTGTGGGTCCCTACAATTGCACCAGAGGTGGTACCCCTATTATATATATATATATATATATATAAATATTAATTATTAGTTATATTATAATTAATTATTATTATAATAATAATTGTTGTAATTAATAATTATTACTCTTCCTTCTGCTGGGTCTTGAAGGAAGCCGGCCTCGGGTGAAAGGGGGCTGTGACGATCTCTGTCTGGAACCCGTAGGTGCGGGACTCGGACGTCCACCTCCTGGGGCTCGTGCGGCCCAGGCTCTGCTTCAGGAGGCTGGGGTCGTTCTTGCCCTTGCTGGGGTGGTTCTTCTCCGGCCCCGACCACGGCGGTCTCCGGGTTTGGAGTCCCTGTGCCTTCTTTTACCAACTTCGAGGTAAACTCCGGAGCTGGAGCCCCTAGGGCAGTTCGTTGTTGCCTTCAACCTCGTTCTGACAGTTCCTGCGACGGCGCTGGAACCAATCGTATTGGCGTTTGCCTTTCCATTGGAGACTTTCGGCGCCGTGGAGAGGGGGGGGGGGGGGGGCCTGCTGCTTGGGTGACAGCTTCTCCTCCATATCAACCTACCCTGGCTTTGCGCCCTGGAGAGGCCACTCCAGACCGACAACCAGAGCGCAACTCCATAGTCTCCTGAGACTGATGGATGCCTACTAGTATATTATACCTTCACAAAACTAGCTTCAGTGGCTTCAGACTAAACAATATGCAGAAGAAGAACAGGAGTCATTTCGACTATATAGCGCTTGGAAGGGTTCAGGGTAAAGATTTAGGATGGGACGGAGGGAAGGAATGGTGCCCAATTACTTGGACGTTCGGGAATTGAACACCGTCCTGCATGAAGCGAAACCGTCGCTATACCGTCCAGCCGAAGTGGAAGGGTACAAAATGGGAGATAAAATCCTTGAAGAATAGAATTAAAGAGAAAGAATTGCTTTCAGAAAGTTAAGTAAAGAATAGTTCTGGACTTTATATGCCACATATGTCAGACCATTCCTGAAATGCGCAACGCCAGTATGAAGTCCTTGTGTAGTCAAACAGAAAATGGAGTTGGAGAAAGTTTACAGGTATGCCTTGTCCCAAAACTAAGACATGATTTACGATGAAAACTATAGGAATTAAACCTCACGTCATTGGAAGACAAAAGAGTTAGCAGAGACACAAACATCACGTACAAAATTGGGAGTCCAGATGTGTGAAAGTTCGAGTCCACATTAGTGCCCTAATATTTCTCATAGATACATTAAGGTATTCCTATTTCATTGTGTATTTATATAACTATAATATCTTTAATTATTAGTGTTGTCCCATATATAAATATATAGTGTTGTATATATATATATATATATATATATATATATATATATATATATATATATATATATATATATATATATATATATATATATATATATGTCGTACCTAGTAGCCAGAACTCACTTCTCAGCCTACTATGCAAGGCCCGATTTGCCTAATAAGCCAAGTTTTCATGAATTAATGTTTTTTCGTCTACCTAACCTACCTAACCTAACCTAACCTAGCTTTTTTTGGCTACCTAACCTAACCTTACCTATATATATAGGTTAGGTTAGGTTAGGTAGGGTTGGTTAGGTTCGGTCATATATCTACGTTAATTTTAACTCCAATAAAAAAAAATTGACCTCATACATAGTGAAATGGGTAGCTTTATCATTTCATAAGAAAAAAATTATAGTAAATATATTAATTCAGGAAAACTTGGCTTATTAGGCAAATCGGGCCTTGAATAGTAGGCTGAGAAGTGAGTTCTGGCTACAAGGTACGACATATATATATATATATATATATGTATGTATGTAGGAGAAGGTATGGAAGGTAACTAATTCCGTGTTGTTTGTGTGTACAGGTAAGAGTGTTGAGCGGAGCGTCTTGTACACTGACAGGAACACTTCAGGTGAGTTATGCTAACCCGTGTTCTCGGAGGCGAGGTTTCAGCTCTTGGGTCTCGCCTCGCAACACTCAGACAACTAGAGAGAGAGAGAGAGAGAGAGAGAGAGAGAGAGAGAGAGAGAGAGAGAGAGAGAGAGAGAGAGAGAGAGAGAGAGAGAGAGAGAGAGAGAGAGAGAGAGCAGGCGTGGGTCACGGGCTGGGAGATATACAGTCTGGGATGGCCTACAGCATCACAATGTATTCATGCCATGCTCAAGCTGGGGAGAAATATACAAGAGCTACAGACGACAGTTAGGTTTGGTGTATGTTTGTATGACAGCCACCTGGTGTATGCTTGTGTCACCACACCTCGTGTATTATTTTGTCAATCACCTAGAGTTTATTTTGTATAATCTACCTCAGGTATCCTTGTATCATCCATCTGGTGTATGCTTGTGTGTAACCTACCCGGTGTATGCTTTCACTCGCCTTGTGTATACTTCTGTCACCCACCTAATGTATACTTGTTTCATTCACCTGAATTCCAGGTGATTGGATTTCACTGAAAACTCACACCCCAGAAGTGACTCGAACCCATACTGCCAGGAGTAACGCAACTGGTATGTACAGGACGCCTTAATCCACTTGACCATCACGACCGGTCATAAGGAGTTGCGTATATTCCTGGGGACCATTCAGGCTTGTTCGCATTTGTGTTCCTCACGTGTGCCCCAAAGAATGAGGTGATTTGATAAAATGCTATGCCCAAATGCATAGCATTTGCTATGGGAAATGGAACAAACTAAGGGAGCAGGTTGTATAAACAAACTCCAATCATAATATGTAAAAGTAGATATGACAGGGAAAGAGGCCAAGCATTATTTCGTGGCACAACCGGCGGCTGGAAAGGCGGGGTCCAAGAGCTAATGCAGGCACAAGTACACACACACACACACACCTGTTACGGGGGGAGGGGGGAAAATAGTGATCATGGTGTAGTTCTGGGGGTGGGAGATGGTGAAGATGGTGTAGTTCATGACGATTGCGGCTGATGAATACGTTGGTGTGATCTCTAGTCTGCGAGCTGCGCGGCTTAAGCCATAATCCTCGGCGGGCCAGAAATGGTTGGGCACATTTCCTTTGACCTAATGCATCTGTTCACCTAGCAGTGAGTAGGTACTCAGGAGTGAGTCAGCTTGATGTGGGGTTGCATCCTGTAACCCCAGTACAGTAATTCGGCCTTGGGGAGAGGGGAGGGGGACCTCGATAAATGCCAGACGTGCATGAATACACCCTGGCTTCCTGTCCCCACCCCAACCCCGACACATTGAATTATTATTATTATTAACCTGGTTGAGTAGAGTTGGTGTGTGCCCTGGGGGTGGCCGGGTGTGTGCCCTGGGGGGTGGCCGGGTGTGTACCCTGGGGTGGCCGGGTGTGTGCCCTGGGGGGTGGCCGGGTGTGTACCCTGGGGGTGGCCGGGTGTGTACCCTGGGGGTGGCCGGGTGTGTACCCTGGGGGTGGCCGGGTGTGTACCCTGGGGGTGGCCGGGTGTGTACCCTGGGGGTGGCCGGGTGTGTACCCTGGGGGTGGCTGGGTGTGTACCCTGGGGGTGGCCGGGTGTGTACCCTGGGGGTGGCCGGGTGTGTGCCCTGGGGGGTGGCCGGGTGTGTACCCTGGGGGTGGCCGGGTGTGTACCCTGGGGGTGGCCGGGTGTGTACCCTGGGGGTGGCTGGGTGTGTACCCTGGGGGTGGCCGGGTGTGTACCCTGGGGGTGGCCGGGTGTGTACCCTGGGGGTGGCTGGGTGTGTACCCTGGGGGTGGCCGGGTGTGTACCCTGGGGGTGGCCGGGTGTGTGCCCTGGGGGTGGCCGGGTGTGTACCCTGGGGGTGGGCAGAACACTCTACACAACAGGACGGAAAATCACACAACAGTTGCCAGCCGTCACTGGGACATATACATAAACATATACCATTCCCACTGTGGTATAAAATAGCATCACCAATGCTATAAAAGTTGTACTTTTATTGTACTGTTGTGCACTAGTTGCCAAACATGGCTGACCATCTGACTTGAACTAGCCAGTTGGGAATGGGCATCCAAGCGCTACTCAGTGGGAAGTGCCCAACCACTTGGGCTGGACGGTAGAGCGACGGTCTCACTTCATGCAGGTCGGCGTTCAATCCCCGACCATCCAAGTGGTTGGGGCACCATTCCTTTCCCTCCGTCCCATCCCAAATCCTAATATCCTGATCCCTTCGAAGTGCCACTTAGTCGTAATGGCTTGGTGCTTGGTCCCCGTCGATTTGCTTTCATTTTTTAAAATCAAATTTAAATTTTAAAATTTGTTTAAATCAGTTTTCCACATTTAACACATATATTTTCCACATGCTTTCCAGTCCCAGAATGTACTTGCAATAGTCATTATTATCAATAATAAGAAATTGTTTACATCTTTTTTTAAAGCACGTCGTTCTTCCCGCTGTAATTATACACACTGCGCATGTGCAGAAGAGCTGCTGAATTGGCGGGAATTTCGAAATGGTTTTTCCTACAGTGTTTCTCGGGTAAATTCAGATAACACATAATTTTATACTAATCATGAGCCCCACACCTGTCAGGTGGATGGATGTGACAGGTTTGCAGTCATGTGCGTAAGGCTGCCATGAGTAAGCCAAGTTTGGATGTGTAGTTAAGATTGCAACGTGATGCATTCAACATCACGTTGAATGCAAGACTTACACATTTCGTCAACGTGAGGACGATAGCGTTTGTGATCACGACCACTTAATCTCGTCGATAACACCTGATGATTATGATATCTTATCCCAGTGAACACGGAATTGTAACCCTACTAGAGTGATTGTATAGCCTTGATCACAATCAAATACAATAATTATAAAAATTGAAAACGATATCAAAACTGTATAGTGTAGCATGACACCGTTCCTCGGTACACGGCGTCACACGTGCACGGTACACGGCGTCACACGTGCACGGTACACAGTGTCACACGTGCACGGTACATGGCGTCACACGTGCACGGTACAGTGTCACACGTGCACGGTACACAGCGTCACACGTTACACAGCGTCACACGGTACACAGCGTCACACGTTACACAGCGTCACACCTGCACGGTACACGGCGTCACATCTCAGTGATTAGCCCCCCTATCCCCCAGCCTCTCTCCCTCCCCATCACAGATGGGGGGGGGGGGCTGGTGGCTGAGTGGACAGCACGTAATCTTGTGGTCCGGGGTTCGATTCCCGGCGCCGGCGAGAAACAAAATAAGCAGAGTTTCTTTCACCCTGATACTCCTGTTACCTAGCAGTAAATAGGTACCTGGGAGTTAGACAGCTGTTACGGGCTGCTTCCTGGGTGTGGTTGTGTGTGTGTGTGCGGGAAGAACAAAATAAATATTAGTTATTAACAGTTGAATGATTGACAGTTGAGAGGCGGGCCGGAAGAGCAGAGCTCAACCCCCTGCAAGCACAATTAGGTGAATACAGATCCTATTGTCATCTCCTATCCCCCCCCCATCAACCACCACCCTCCCCATCACCACCCCCCCCCCTCTCCGTTATCCCCACCTCTCTTCTTCCGCCGGCACTGTTTGATGACTAGTCTATTTTGATCAACTCTCGCCTCAGTAACTTCACCCTATTGTTTACGAACACTTCAACTCCCTGCTCTTTCTTCACGACTCACTAACTACCCTAAGAGTCGAGTTGCTCTCCTTCGTGTAAATGTTCTCGTTAAACCTGGGAGAAAATTATGAGAAAAGCCTAAAGCACTATGACTATACGGCACTTGGAAATTAAGGAACGAGGCCCAACCACTTAGACAATCTTGGGCTGGACGGTAGAGCGACGGCCTAGCTTCATTCAGGTCGGCGTTCAATCCCTGACTATCCACAAGTGGTTGGGCACCATTCGTTGTTGTTGTTATAGGTTCAGCTACTCGGAACAAGTTCCAAGTAGCACGGGCTATGGTGAGCCCGTAATTTACCTGGCAGAGGAGCAGGGCAAGTGGCACAAGCTATGGTGAGCCCGTAGTGGACTTACCTGGCACAGGAGCGGTGCTGTAGGGACACCATTCCTTCCCCCCTCCTTATATCCTGATCCCTTCCCAGTGTTTTGTAGTTGTAATGGCCTGA